GTTATAGATCGTAAGAATTTCAGTATACATATTTATACCTTTGCCAATGTTCAAGGTTTCACGAATAAAATATTAAATTTATTATTTCTAATGTCTTATATTTTTAAACTGTTGGTATGTGTAGGTATGGTATATTTATAAACGACTTTTGAGATTTGACAGCGATGCGATGTTTAATAATATAACCTTATATATATAATATATAAATATATACCATGAATAATCCGGAACAGAATAGATTATATAAAACATTTTCCTATAGATATCAAATGATGTAATATTACATGTATGTAATTTTGACATTAATTTTGCTGCAAGTTATAAAACTTTATTATCTTTTAACGTAGCAACAAAGTATGTGTACACACATGTTCAAACTTAGAATTATTAAAGATTTGTTTGATTAAATGTTGGTCAAATCGTGATGAATAACAGAAACAGTACTAACAGCATAAAGTGTTTATATAAAAATAAATAATTTAATCATCAACTTGGATAAGTATCAGATCGTTGACGGTTATCGTTATTTGTATAGTACTATTTGCATAGTTTATGCATTGCGGCTACCACGTTTTACTACCACATTTTATTAAGAAATATTTACTGTACGTAATAGAATGTACAATGAGTTTAAAAATGTATTTATACTAGACATGACAACGTAATAGTGATCCTACTTCAAGAATGAGATGGTTAGAGCTTTTGAATTAGTTAATAATTTTTTTTTTTTTTTATTAGTTGTCAATTAGAAACTTTGGCTATTTTTTGAGAATTTTTTGAGAGAGTAATGAATGAGAGTTTGAGTATGAGTGGGCTTATGCAATTATCGGTGTTCTGTGACATGTTTTATACAAGGCTAGGGTAGTTATTGGTGTTTGTAGATCGTGATGTAACATATGGTTACTTACATACCATATAGTACTAGAGATGAGACTAAAATTTATGAACTGAAGACTTTTATGATAAATTTGGCTAATCCTCATAAAATGATTGTCATAAATCATTACATGGAAAATTAGTTGTTTGTATAAAATAATTTTAGTGTTAAAAGATAAATATTAGGATTTTAAAAATTGGCTGGTCCAATTAAATTTTTTCTTAATGAATACTTTATTATCTGGTGAAATTGTCATGAAGGATTATGTTATTATGATTTATATTGAAAGAATGATACCAGACGAGACGTAGAGTATGGATTTATTTATGTTAATTTGTATCCTCTATAGTTCAAACTCATATAAATTGTACAAATGATTATTTGAAGCGACAACGCCTGTATCGCCTGTAAAAGTGGTTAGGATAGTATCGGTTAGAAGTAAAAATGTGGTAAAATGTAGAAACTATGATACTAATTAGGGGGATAATAATAATAATAATAATAATAATAACAATCTTCTTACAAGTCGTTGTTATTATTGTCGTCATTGATTACTCGGAGAAGCCTATGTAAATAGGTATAGAAGATATGAGGTGTGTGACCGCGTTAGGAGTCGTGTCCGTTACGCAAAAAACACAAACAGTTTGATTGACGTGAAATAAAATTGCCAATGTTGTATATAAAGAGATTAAAAATATTAAAATTAAAAATGGGTTTATTGGTCATTGAGTTCAACAACTCTTCATACAAGGCCCCTTGGCTTTGGTCTGCGTAAAAAAGCGCATGAAATTCAGCACAGATCGTCGTGTCGTGATGGTCAATATTACGATGATGTCCCCTTTGCCGTCCCGCTGGGTGTGTTGAAAAACGATTATTCGCGCGACTCATCATCGGATTAAAAACGCGTAACGGATTGCAACGATACATTAACTATGTGTAGGTACTCATGATATGGTCTTTATCGCGCGGACACCTGACGGCAGAACAATATAATAATAATAATAAAAAACAAACAATAAAGATGAATGTAAGAATAATAATAATATTAAAAATAATATACATTATATGTGCGGTTTTTAAAGACTAGTAGCCGACAATGTATATGTGTACAAACTTAAATATAACGGCGCGCGCGCGCGCACACACATACATTCGCGTTATTGTTTTTTCGCGTCACGTCTCTCTGTCACTGTCTGTGCGTCCATACATGTCGAAATCGGGCGCGCACGAAGGACGACTGGCGGGACTCAAGAAGGACCGCCTTCGACCACGTGTCAGCACGTACTTACGTGGTAAACGCTTTTATATTCATACCACTGCTACAAGTATGCATTATATATCATTTGTAAAGGGTGATATTTTTATCGTTACCGCCGTCGTCGATCGCAGAAAATTTCTTCAGAATAACTATAATCATTTTTCTATTTATCGTGACGTCCTGATTTTCCCGTGATTATCAAATACTTTTATCGTTCTCCTTCGTTTTGTATCTTATGTTTAAACAGCAACCAATTGTAGTGTACAAAATGAACAATGTTCATGTGTTTATATATATATTGTTTAAAGAAATATTTCTCTGACACCCCCCCCCCCCTTTTGAATATTGAAACGAAACTTAGAGCATCATTTTTTGTGCATCATTTGTGTTGATTTTTCCTGAAATTCTCGACATTTGTGCTTTTGAACTTTCTGAAATACAAACGTTTTTCTAAGGGAGTAGGTACTGGGAAAATGGTTGCATTTCACTTTCATATTTAATAATTTTAATGATGCCAATGATTTTATGCCTCGTTTGTGTTGAAAATTGCGGCATTTGTGCTTTTGAACTTTCCGAGAGACAAAAGTTGTTATTAAGTGGTGCTGGAGAAGTGATTATATGAACTTTCGAAATTTATAATGATCAACAAGCTGTATTTTCAGTTGAAATAATTTATATTTATAATCATTATCGTTCACTCAATTTTTAGATTTAAATTTTTACTTTTCATTCTCTTCTAAGTTTAATATGAAGGAACTCTGCATAGATATTCTAAAATTCATGATACGGAACGATTTTAATCATATCTATCTAAAAAGTTGTTGTTATAGGATAAAAGAATTGTATATGAGAACTATGGGTTTGTTTGTAATAAGTACATCGATTGAAAATAAAGAATATATTTTCAAATTCATTTTTACAGTCGCTCTGAATGAAATTGATGGAATAATTATTAATCAAGCACCAAAGTACCAATTGAATGTAAAAATGCTAAAAATTATCTTTAATGAAAAATAGCAACTCATAGAATACAGATTAAGATAGTGGATGAACGAGTTGAGCACAAATCAGCATAATGATACAAAAAAAAACCAGCTCTTGGTTTCGTTTCAAAATTCAAAAAATGGGGGTGCCAAGGAAATTTTTCTGTTATTTAAATTCAAAAAGAAATTATTTTTCTGAAAATGTAAAGTATTTAAATACGTTTTAATTTTTAATTTAAATTGATAGTAATAATCATAAGTATTTAAAGTTTGAACTGAATATGCGGAAAAGAGTTTGAAAATAAAATTATTAGCGAATGTTTTAAGAAGATATTTTCCTCAGACCAATAGTTGACACTATTTATCTATAACAAGAGTGGACGGTAAACATATTTAAGAAAATAATTAGGTAGTGTAAAATTTCGTGTACACTTAATAAATTCTTTTTGTTTATATTTTACGATGTATTGCAGTGATCGTGTACGATTAAAATGCACCCTGTATACACTGTAGTACACACATACGTGTGGGTATTTATATATTTTTACGCGGTATAATACAATATACAGGGGCACATTTATGTTTACCTATTATATAGTTACATCTACATACGTACGAATATTTATGGGTGATTGTTTAATTTTGAATTTTTATTCCGCAATAGCATATACTGTATGTGGCAGCGGCGTAAAATAGACCGGGCACACGTGCGCTTGTTTATAACGAGTTAAAACAATAATTATTTATTAGTGCGAACAATAATAATTGTTCACGAAAGTCGGCGTTTTTTCACATCGAAATCGAAACTTACCGATGTACACCGTATACGTGTGAATATTATGTATCCCGACTGATTATTTAGCCCGACGACACCGCATCAATTATGTACACCGTACAGATTACAATACAATATAATATTTATGTTTATTTAATATAACTTTTTTCGTATTGTACGCGAAGACGTTTCTCGAAGACTTGCGTATTCATTGTTTTCGCTTCGTAGTCGGCCTCGGCTGTGTTTACGAAATATTACAAATTATACGTATGTTGTGTACATAGTTATAGAACGGACATTAGTTAGCAAACAACCGCAAGTTAGATTTTCGTCTGTTTGTATGTATATATATGTATATTCGAATGCATAGTTTCTATATGTTACGTACGTAGTACTCCGCTCGGTAGATCGTAATCTGTTGAAAGAATACCGCCGCGGTGTCGATGATGAAGTCTCTTGTGAGAATATTAATTTATTGGCAGGTCGATGACGCGGTTATCCTACGGTCAAAAGTAACGAGATTTTGCATGTTCAGCAAACGTATAATATTGTTATATTATACGTAAAATAATGCCCAACCAACACATACTATTATTAAATATTGACCGATGTCTTTAATTCATAATTCGTCGGCGATAAAATTTCGTACTGTATATATTTTGTGCATAACAGATATGGCGAAATAGATTCAATCCAAAAATTAATATATAATTACTCGTATATTCAACACTAACCGTACGGATGTAAATTATAACCTTTATGATACTGTTGAATGACGATTTAGCAGTGTGTGAATAGAATTAGGTTCGATTTCTAATAAGGTATATTATTTATAGAACATTTTTTTACGATTTGATTCTTCATCCTTATTGGCGATGATAGATATTGCCACAAGATTGTCGTTGCAGAGGGCACCTTTGTTGTGAATAAATCCTTTGATACGATTTACTATCGAATGAAAAATAAATAATATCTTTTAAATATAGTTGTTTGTTCAATATATGTATATAATATATACACATTTGATATGTGTGATAGTGGTTAAAACGCGCAATGATATTTATTGAGAAATGTATATTAATTTTATAATTATTTTATTTTTTGCAGTGAGAGTACCCGTGCCTCCGGGAAGACCGTGGATACCTCTATCTAGACCAAACAAGAATATACCTTCTTGTAAGTCGCCGCCGTAAATAATTATAATTTTTATTTTTTTTTTTTTTTTATTACTACTTGTTTTAAACACACTGTTATACTCAATGATTTGATGAATATAATTTATAGGTCCTGTAACGGTGATGTGTTATAACGTTTTATGCGAAAAATATGCTACCACTCAAATGTACGGATATTGCCCATCTTGGGCTCTTTCGTGGGACTACCGTAAAAAAGTTATTTTAGGCGAAATTCGTCATTACACTGCAGACATTATTACTTTACAGGTATGTTTCATTTCGTAGCATGTGGTCAGATACATATAGGTTTGGGTGTTTGTTTATTTTTCCTCTGAATCTGGGTCATTTTTTCTAGGGAGATAAATTCTCCCATACCATTTTATATATATATATGTATACATACATACATACATACATACATACATACATACATACCTACAATATATATACATAATTTCAATTGAACGACACAAGATTTTTTTGCTCTTACTATAAAATATATAATCATTATTTTTGGTTAGGTAAGGTCAATAAAAATAGGATTTAATTTTTATTGTTAAAATCTTTTTTTTTATAAAACAAATTAATTACTAGAGTAATGGAATGATTCACGTTAAATATTTTATAGATAAACATCTTAGAAACGCATTGGTTTGTTGTCGAATTTTAGTCTCAAAAATAGTAGAAAAATGTATATTTAAAATAAAAATATTTTAAATGCGGTTGAATTATTATATGCAAGATATTTGTTGAAATATAAAGGTTTTAATATTTCTCGTTATAAAAACTACAGTTAAACGAGTACGCATATCACGCACTCATCTATAATTTTATGCATGTATACTGTGAATACGTTTATTATAATTATTATTTTATAACCATTGGTTTTATGTCTCAAGTATGTAGAATTTACGTAAGTAGGTATATTAATTAAAAGAAGATAGATTGTATTCTATACCCGCTAAATCAATATTGTATGTAAAATGCATTTTATTTACCAATAATTACGGTAACTGTATTAATATTTTTTAAAATTATGGACACGTAGCCTATACTATTTGTTTATAAGAAATTAAATTAGAATTTTTTTGAATTTTTAGGAAGTTGAAACGGATCAATTTTATAATTTCTTTTTACCGGAACTTAAAAAGGATGGATACGATGGTGTATTCTCCCCCAAGTCGAGAGCCAAGACTATGTCCGAAAACGACCGTAAACGAGTTGATGGATGTGCAATATTCTACCGAGCGATCAAGTTAGTAATTTAATTATTATTCACAGTTGTGTATGTACAATATATAAATATATTTTATGTTTTGATTGTGGTCATGACTTGTGTTAAGGCCTTGGGATACAAAACAAAATTTATAATTATAAGCAGTTTTTGACACACATGTTATCTGGTTTGATGACTTACTAATTGTATACGTATTCACTGCATAACCCCTTCGGATTTCCAACATTGGAAATAAATACGAGCTTACTTCTGATAGATATATACTAATAAAAATAATTGTTTATATTTTTTATGAATAGTATACTTTGGTAATTGGTAATATTGTAACAAAAAAATGTGCTTTCTCTGTGATTATTGCTATGTAATTAAATATTATGTTATTATTATTTTTACATTTTGTTTGTACAAAAACTGGAATTCATCGAATATCTTAAATAAGTTATTATTATACATTATACTAGTATTATTATTTGGAAGGTGGGATTCTTTGTATTTGTGTGTTTTGTTCGTAAAATATTTCGGTCGTTTAAACTTTAAGGACACGTGGTTTTACAGGATTTAAAAAAATCACCTTGTTCTTCTACTGGCAGTGACGTACTTACAATTTTAGGGGCATTGTTATATCTACAGCCGTATGGAGACGAGTTTTAATTGTTCAGTTTGCTGCCAACGTGTATCAGTAATGTAATGCTTCTGCAGTTGACTACTAAAGGTTGGCGTAGAAATAGTTGAACTGATCGCAGTATATAAATATATGTTCCTAATTTAGACATATTTAGGTTTAGTTATTATTAAACAAACTAATATAATATACTAATATATTATATGTAATTTTTTAACCTATGTAATTACAAAAAAAAAACAAAATTCAACCGGTTTCAAACATAATATTTTGATTGTATTATAATGGGCAATTGTTAATCGTTCATGTTATTAATATTAACAATAATTTTATTTAATTAAAATCAAATTTTAAAAGTTGGATTCTAATAGTAAACACTAAGCAGTGGTTAGGCCAAAATATGTTATTGTATAATGAAAGTTCTATTATGTATGCAAAAAAGTTGGTAAATATTTAATAGTATATATACAATTTTATTTACGGAATAGTCTGGAGCGGATGCAATTCGTTTTCTGTACAGATACTCTTTTGATTACATTAAGTCTATTTCCAAAGTGTAATGATAAAATGTTTTTTTTTAGATTTACATTAATCAAAGAACATTTGATAGAATTCAATCAACTAGCTATGGCCAATTCGTGTGGTTCGGACGACATGCTTAACAGAGTGATGCCCAGGGACAATATTGGTCTAGCTGCCTTACTGAAAACTAACGAAACTGCATGGGAAAACTGTAAGTCATGTAATGTAATGTTTACCGGGGGTGGGGAAAGACAGATCTCGTATTTTTATCCCACGCAATAGTAGGTAGCTTAACACATCTACATAGATTGAAACACACACACACACACATATACATATATGTATAATAAAAAAATTGAAAAAATACAAAATATATATTTGTACAATTGTGCGTGTGTATACGAGGAACTGCAATAATAAGTTAAATATATATTAATGAACAATATTTAACAGATTAATAACAGAATATTCATTCATTCCATATTTGTTTGCGCATAATGAAGACCAATGAAATATAGGCCCCATAATAAACGTTTATCATTGCGTTTCGATTTAACCGACTATAATGTTTACTCGTATACATTATTGTTTACGTATATGTTTCAAGGATAAGTAGTAGATTTTGCGGTATGATAAACCGATAACACCTATTATATACGTGTTATTGCAAATATAGGTATATATTTAATAAATATACCTCATAAAGTATTAACATAAAACATATACTTACTTACAGTTTGTAGCTATAATACAGACCGTTAAATTTTATATATATGTATGAACGTTTGACTTTGAACTATCGGATAATGCGTGAGATGAAGATTAATAAAATCATTCACTTGTATAAACCTTTAATAATAATGTAAACGGCGTGGAGACGACTGTTATTTATCATAGTGAAAGTTAGTAAGGCTGCTCTGGGGTTGTCATAAGCAAATGGATAATTCAATTTCTTTTAGTTAGACACTATTGACAGGCGTATATTTTGACGTTGTTTCGAAGATAAAGAATACATTATGATTTCGGTTTCGATTACACTTGTTAAATTACTAATTGATAGGATGAAACGTATATCAACGCAAATTGATTTTAAACATAAATTATGCAACGCGCGTATTAAATAACTACATTCGTTGTGCACAGTAGTGTAACAACAATTGGAGTTTTCTCTTGTCATAGTATACGTACTACATTATGATGATGACTCCTCCTTTACTATATCAAAGATGGATTTACGTGATGGCTGCCCTTAGGACATTTTTCCACCCTATAGATATTTTTATGAACCGTTGGAGTAATAAGAAAATTAACACGTTTGTATACAATTAAAATTTTCTTAAATTTAATTATGAATTATAACTGGATTTTCATAATACTATGTTTCAACAAATGAAATTGTGTTGTGTATGAAAAAATAATAAATACGAAATGCGTAAAAATGTTATTACTCGAGTAGTGATCGAGTGCATAATAATAATTTAATTCAAATAAAAATGGTTTTTGCTCTAGTTTTCTATTTTAACTGTCATTAGATCAATTGTTACTGATTGAAACTATCGTGTTCTAAGATTTTTTTTTTTGATTGTAGACCAGTGCTTCTCACCTTTTTTCAAACTGCCGCCCCTAAGAAGCAAAATGTTTTTTAACGCCCTCTCCCTTCACTTCATTAAAATAAAAATAAAAATAGTATATATGAAATGTTTATAATTGAATAATAAATAATATAGATATAAATGTAAATGTAATAAAAATAAAATGTAAAATTTATGTTTAAATATAATTTAAAAGGATAATTTAAATGTTTTGAAATGTATTGATCGATGAAATGCTTGGTGATTCAAAGCCAATTTTTTTACGTTTGGTTCAAAATTTGTGAGATGAAGCCGTAAGTCTCCTTTTTTGACGATGTCTAGTTGATTTCTTTTTTTCGTTATTAGATAATAACGCACTGCCTCTGATAATTTAGTTTATATTTCATAATCACAAATTTATTTTAGAAATCGATAAACGGAAAACAATTACAGATAAATCTTGGTACGTTGCTTTGAACGGAAAAAAAGTTCACCGCCCCTCGGTACTTCTTCACCGCCCACCGGGAGGCGATATCGCTCCCGTTGAGAAACACTGGTGTAGACAAACTTATTATCACGTGCGCCCACGTGTATGTAGCTTAGTATTGTAGCTCTATTATAAACACTATTTGATGAGTAAATATCTCATTTTTAAAAAAATTGCTATTTCTCTTTTGATTTTGCCATTAGTTATTAATTTCTGCAGGAAATAGATCAAAATTATTACAATATTATTCATACGTTTATTGAGATTGACTGAAATGCTGAATATTTTTTTTAATGAGTATTGTCAATTCATTATAATTGTCATGTATTTTGCGAAATTGATGTCAAGAGAATATAAGTTATATCATATATTATGTTTACATTATATAATTTTACCTGAAGCCGTCGTCATTTGTTTAAATTTAAATTATAAAATCCAGAAAATAATGATTTAATTAGATGTTTTTCTCACTAAGTATAATATACATGTACACATCTCGGTAACAATAACGACAATGACGATGGCAACGTCGATGATGTGAGATGTGTACGCGAACGCGCTTATGGTTTGGTTACTTGTACGTACGTAATACTAAATATTATGTATTACAACGCGATTGTCACAATACTATTTTGTTTGTTTTTTATAGCATGTCATTGCATCCGTACAGTTATCGCACGTGTACACAAAAATTATGTAAATAATTACGAACCGCGTGTTGTTCATAATTTGTAAATACGAGTATATACCATTAACTCTTAAGTTTGTTAAAATTACAAGAAATCCTCCTTGAAGGATAAAGAAAAACTAACTGATGTCGAGATTTAAAATAATTACAATATAAAAAAATAAAAATAAAAATAATTATAAATTCTTAAATCAACTGTTCGTATCAATTTGAAGTATATTATTATCACTTATGGTTGTATTGGTAAATTACAATTAACTGATTGTATATATATAAGCTGACCCCTGCTCACTTTACTGGGCGTTAAACATTTTTGTGATGAAATGTTTATGATTTTTACTTAGTACAGAGTGTTAAGGATTTATTTTATTTCATTTATATTACATCACTGATCCGGCAAAGCTTTGCTATTGTTATATTTTTCATAGGTATATTTGACCCGATGACCTTTGTATCACCTAAAATTTATCCTTCTTTTATATATAGTGCACATCGTTGCGCGTTAAAATCGTCGTACGGGTTGGATTGTTCTGTTTTAATTATTTTTTTTTAATAACATAGTAATCTCATTAGTTAATAATAACCTACTTTGCGTGTCATTAGTGCATGTAATACGATCTTTTTTAAAATATTTACTTAAATAAAATAAAATACCCTTTAAATGTATTTATTTAATAAATTTAATTAAATATTTAAGAGTAAATAACATTTTTTTTCTTAAACAATCTGGTACTATAATAAACTGATTTTCTAGTTTACCTATTCTTGATAATCCAACATATTAAAATGTTTGGCTTTGAGCCTCATTAATTATAATAGCAAACGAAACTAATAGGAAATTGAAGTTTCTTAAACTGTAAATGTAAATCAATAGGATTCATAGGTATTCAGAGTATTAAGGTAATTTATCCCGCTGTACATTACACCGTCATCGTAATGTGTTCGACGACGACGCGACGAAAATACACATTATGTTTTATTTTTATTTTCGGATATCCAATCAATTTTTCCAAGTCGTATTATACATTAAAACCTTCACCGAGACGCGACCAATTATATAATTAATAAATAAAAAGAAGACAAAAAAAAATGTAAAAAAAGTGCATTAAGTTGAAAAGACCACCGAGTTCGTGGTTCAAACTCGAAACACTGGGGATCTATAATCATATTTATCAATTATTATAGTAGGGATTTCTAATTATTTTAGTAATAAATATAGCCTATGTTACTCAAGGATAATGTAGCATTATAATGGTGAAAGAATTTTTTAAGCGGTCCAGTAGTTTTGGAGATTTACGCGAACAAATAAATGTTGTCTCTTCATATAATAGTAAGAAAGATTAATTAATATTATATACATATATAATAATATACATATAGTTGTGTTTTACGACTTTCTGAAGCAGTCAAGTTTTGGTTTATACCACAATTTTTGCTTTATCGTAAATTTTCCCTTATATTATTTACGTATATTGCTGTATACATGCGTATATATTTTTTCGTGTGTAGTATCGAATTGACGCATTATTTCGTCGTTTTCGAACTGTCAATTGTCCTAATAGTCGTGCATGGGTGCTTTATGTTTTTGTTAACAAATTTTACCCATGCAATTCTCGCCAAAACAGTAATTTAGTTAGGCAGGGGTACTTAAAGTTTCACCGCGCACCGGCCAACGCCACTGCCCATCGCCTCTCTTCGTGTTTTATTATTATTCAAACGTGTTTTCATCGCACCACGACTATCTCGTGCTGTGCATTATTATAATTATTATTAAATATAAACCTACATTTAATGTCAACACTTACCTCTCTGAACACGCAATGAATTATATTATTATTTTTCGTGTGCTGCTGTAGAATGTATTCATATATAATTTATAATTATTGTCGTCGCACGTAGTCGTACACGTATCGGTCGGGATGGATTACGCATACACATATGAATGGGATTGTTATATTCCACGATTACATGTGTCTAGGGAAAGAAGAAAAATCAAACTGTATTTAAACATAAAAACTATGCGAAATATATAATTTATCAAAATATATTAGTAAATTTTCTATACAACTAACCGGAAACGAGTTTCTACATTTTATAATAATTATTAAAAACAGTAGCGCGCAACTACGGGGGTGCTGGAATGCTTAATTTAAAGCACCTCATGTTGCATGTCGTTGTAAATTAAAAATATCTATAGTTTATGACATTATTTCAGATGAAATATTGAACACATTTTCTAATATCGATAGGAGATTATGTTTGATACTTGAAATTATTTCGTTATAGTGGTATTGTGAATATAATAATAGTATAATATAAACATTAGTTGTATGTAATGTTGGTCGTATGATTACAAAATGTAGCATCCCAAAATTTGAATTTATTTGCACCCTTGATAACAAACTCATAAAAAAAAAAATCTACAAAAAATAAAGCAATCGAATAATTCGACATGGATTCGTTTTCGTATAATTATATTTGTGTTTTATGCCGATTTTGGTTTGTCGCGGTTGTTTTTTATTTAATCTGGTATAGGTCGATCGATTAAAAAAATTACGTCCGTCTCGTATATCTTTTTACGCTAGACCATTGCTGACGCAGCCGTTAAACCGTTATTATCGTGATCACGCGATTATTACTGAAAACCGGAAATTCGCTTCTCAATACTTTGCGCTAATTCCAATGCGAGTTTTATAATATTCCAATTGACGATGGAACAAACAGGTTATCAGTATGCGTGCGTTGCATTTGTTTACGAAACACGACTGAAAATACTGCCTTCACACAGTTATTGTTGTGCCAAAATTGTTATACTTTTTTTTTCGTTATACTTCTTCGCTTTATGTGGCATCACTGTTTGTTATCGTCAGATACGCGAATGTTATCACTAAAGTTGTGTTTGGTTCGTCGTGTGTTAACACTTATCGGATTCGTCTATTATGTCATGTCACAAATTATTGTTCCCAAATTTTTCTAATTTTTTGCCGTCGCATACGGTTCTCACCTCGCGTGCGACTTATCATCACCAAACACCATGAATTCAAACCAATACTACCCGGAGAATACGTATTTCGTGTCTGATGACAACCTCAACTTTCATCCTGGATCGTACTCCAACTACGACCAGACAACTAATCTACAAAACTACTCTTTTGACAATTATTCGCAACCGTCTCAATTGAATCAACCCGGAGCTGGTCAATGGCAAAACAACTCGTCCACGAACTTCACGGGCGAAGAAGACGAACCACCTCTGCTTGAAGAGCTTGGTATCGATGTCAACAAAATCATCACTCGTCTGTTACATTCACTCGATCCGACGGGAAAATGTGGTGTTGTTTTGGGCGATTACGATGTAATTGGCCCTATTGCGTTGTATCTGACTTACACGTCACTACTCTTGTTGGCAGGTGGCAAACTGATGTTTAGTTACATTTATGGTTTGGCCGTATTAACATCAGTGTGCATGTATGGCTTACTTTGGGCAATGACAGATTCTCCTGAAGTTACATTAACATCGACATTTTCTGTACTTGGTTATTCATTTACGCCCGTCGTACTAGTTTCATTGCTTGCCGTATTCGTTAATCTGAAGAACATATTTGGTGGAATAATTGTATTGGCTGCTGTAATTTGGAGTAGTTCAAATGCTGCCAGGGTATTTGTTGCTATGTTTGGGAACTCTGATCAGAAATATCTTATGGCTTATCCCTGTGCAATAATCTGTGGTTTATATACACTGTTTATATTGTATTAACATATTTATATTCATGTAATCTTATTTGTATTTATTATACATTTTGTTTTTTAATATATTTATATGCATACTAAATTGTGTTGTTTTTTATTTTTACACTTTGATCCTAGTTTATTTGTGTACTTTTATAAATTAGTTAAATTAAGCAAAAAGAAAAAAAGTAAATAAATAGAAAAACCTTAAATACAACAGTTATAATTTTTACTGAGCAATACATTTTTGTGTAAGAAAAATAAAATATTTACATTTAAGATTAAAAGTTTCAATATATTGTTTATAAATTATATGTATACGTGGTCCATGAATATTATTTCTGAAGTGTTAGCTATGAATCAAATATTTGTTAATGTTTTATATAAGATCAATTAAATACTAATTATTGGAATGGATATATGGAATTAACTGAAATTTCATTGATAGGATTGTAACTTAAATTTTCTATTTTTTACAGTCAGAACTTGAAATATATTCAAAAATAAATAAATTTTAAGAATATCAACATAACAATGAAATAATATTGAATATAATTTATTGTATTGTTAACATTTATGTATTTTTCAGAAATAATATATAAAAAAAATGTTTTCAACTATAATTTTTAACAAATGTTAGTAAAATATTTTGAAAAATGTTAAAAATGAATTATTATATAATGTGTACACAAGTATTGGTTTTACTATTAGAAATTTGGAAATCATGAATTTCTCGTAATAAATTCTTAATAAACTTATGAATTGTTATTATTATTACGAGTATAATTTATTGTTGAATAATTTTCTAATTAATTTAATTTTTTTTATTTAGCTCTACCATCAGAAGTCCAACAGCCTATACTCGTTTGTACTGCTCACATCCATTGGGATCCAGAATTCTGTGATGTCAAACTTATTCAAATTATGATGTTAGCTAATGAATTAAACACTATTTTGGAAGACGCTAATCGAAATTATCGTTCTGTGAATCACCATCAGCCACCAATACAATTATTATTGTGTGGTGATTTCAATTCTTTGCCAGATTCTGGTAAACTTTATTTGTTTGATGTGATTATAATATAGTAAAATCTATCTTAGGCAGAATTTTGATAGTATAAAATGAGAGAATATCAAAGATAATTTTAAAGATTAATTTAATATTTAAATAATTCAAATATAACTAACAACAATTTCAAAAGAGCTCATAAAGAGCTTATAATTAAATATATTTTTGATCTTGTGCACTTCTATCTTTGATAGTTATTACTGTTATTATTTTCTCATGGGAATTTAATCATATATTTTGTTAAAATTTTCTTTTAGGGGTGATAGAATTTTTATCTGCTGGAAAGGTATCGTCAGACCATCAAGATTTTAAAGATCTGCAGTATAAGACTCTTTTACAAAAGATTTCTACTTGTGATAGACCAAATGAGTTTATGCATTCATTCAAGTTATCCTCTGCTTATGAAAACATTATGCCTTTTACAAATTATACGTATGTAAACTCAAGTTAATATTTTTTAAACTTTTCTTTTATTTTTAATTCAATTTATACTTTAGATTCAATTTCAAAGGAATCATTGATTATATATTCTACACTAGGCAGACAATGACTCCACTTGGTTTGCTTGGTCCATTGGCTCCTGAATGGTTTAAGGACAATAAAGTTCTTGGTTGTCCACACCCTCATATACCATCTGGTAAAATATTTATTTAGAATTTTGTTTTATAGAATGTATTATATTATTATTATTATTGTCAATAACTGTTAATTATATATTTTGTGTTTTCAGATCATTTTCCATTATTAGTAGAATTTGAATTGTCACCAAACGCACACCAAAACAATTCTAACGGGTTGATTGGTCGTAGATAGCAAGGTGAAAGATTGAGAATTATGAAAAAACATTAACCACCAATAATCAATGTACGTACGTGTTACAAATCCTTGACACAATGTACTATCAGTTAATCATTTTAGTTACTGTATCTTTCCTTTGTGTCTTTCTATCATATCTCATTGGCTTCATATGCAGATAATCTGTTTCTAAAAGAATCCCATGACTACTTTAAGCTTTTCTCATTATTTTTTTTTTCATGAACAAATATATAAAACTTAAGAAAAAATAATAATAAGAAAAGAAATTAGAAAAATATTTTTGTGAATTTTTATTTTATTTGCTATTTTTTATTTTACTTTATTTTATGTATATAAGGTACATTTTCTCACCCTAATTTATTTAAAAAAATGTATGTAAAACATAAAAATAAGAAAAATTCTTACAAAAATGTTTATTGGACATTTTCTATTTACTTATTATTTTTTTTTAATGTTTTTTTTTTTTTTTTGAAACAGAATCTTTCAATATTGAGTTGCTTATTTTTTATTTAAACTATGAAATTGGCATTTATTTTAATGAATATGGATATAAATGTTAATTCAACAATTGTTCTCCAAATTATTTATTTATTTTTTAAAATTTTTATTGTATTTGATTTGTTCCCATGTAATTGAATTTTTCTTATTCATGCTTACCACTATATACTAATTTTTATTGTTTTAATTCAATTTTTGTTCAATGATATTATACCATTAATTAAATATACTAATTAAGCTCCCTATAAACTGTATAATTGTAAAATTATGTTTAGTATTAATTTTTTTAATAGTTTTATTATTAATATAAGAAAATTGAGCCTTACAAAATTAAAATGTAGTAATTGATTTAAGAAGTACTTTTAATTGTCGACAAGAGAGGCATAGTACAAAAATATATCATTGTTTTTATTAATTTTTATTTATACTCTCTTTGTCAGTATTCAAAAATTATGATTTGTGTCCATAGATTTAAATTTAATATTTTTAATGTACAATTATTACTTGTGTTTCAATGAATGTAGTGATATTGAATAATATTGCTGCTAATAGTTTTTCAATAGTTTATGTAAAAAACCAAAAATAAAAAATTTTGACATTATTATAATATATTATAAATTATTATCATTTTGATTAGTAATAATTTGCGTACGTACATATTTATTGTTTTTTTTTTTATGTATAATTATAATATTTCCAACCTTTTGTTTACTATCCATTCATGCCTGTTCAATTTGTTATATGTACACATGTTCACATGTAATTTATGTACACATGTACATAAATAATTGTTGGTGTTCTCCTTGTATGAAAAATGTACAGTTTTGACTCAAATATTTGTCATTGGTAAGATTTTTACATTAGTCAAATTATATTGACTGCTTCTCTAAAATAGAATTTGCTAGGGCAAACTTGATATAGCTGTGAAGTAGCCAAATGGTCCAACGTGTCCAGCGATATATATGGTCTCGATATTCTTAAATATTGTGTTTGATTGATTCACTTCCCCTAAACGTTCATGGCTAAAACAGTAATTACTAAACGTTAAAACGCTAAACGGCACACAACTCTAGACTTGTGCACCGGTCTGATAGTATCATTTCGTTGGCTACGTCCTTTTGTTTTTACATCCAGCATTATACTACATACGATTCCTGTTCAGTCAGAAGGAGTTAGTCTAAAGTATTTCGATTATTGGACCCAAGTGCTTGGATAGAGACGATCGAAGGATTCGTAGAAACCAAACAGTTCTATTAGATCTGATATTGTGTTTGTTATCGCTACTCTATATAGGCACGATGCAATATAGTTTCTTGTAATCTGCTGGCCGATCCTTTAAGTTATACAACTCTGTCGAAAATTGTTCAAAAACTTTTCTTATTACAAGGATTTTACCCCATACACTTTCGACCCATGGCACCTTGGGTTATTGGTAGATTTATGGCTTAGGGTATATTTTAGCATGTATTGAAACTCATGGTTTGTTCATGGGGAGTGTTATTCATGATAAATTCAAATTTTTTCATAATCCAGGGCCGTATTTAAGAATATTACACCCAAGGGCAATAATAATAAAAAAAAAAAAACATCCATTATAACATGTATAATTTATTAATGTAGCATGTACTAAATAAAGAATTAAACTTAACATATACACATTTAAATTATGTCAAAAAAAAATGTTTATATAAATATATAAACTTAATAATTAGAATAGTATTTATTTATATATTCTTCTGGTCTTGTAACTAGAAATTCTTTAATCACATTATCATAGTTAATTTTTGTTGTTATATTACTTTCAATATTTAATATAGCTGATCTATTTAAATTATCATTATTCATTACGAATCTAATATATGTTTTGATTCTTCTCAGTGTTTTAATCGAACATTCTGAAGTACAATATGTTGCTGACGTGCATAAAAAAATTCAAAGTGCAATATCAACATAAGAATATACGGATTGCAAATATTTTGACCGTATTATATTTTAAATTGTTTAATGTGGCTAAATCATCTTTATAATCTTTACATAGCTGTTCAGCACACATAAAATCTTCGAACTCAGACATAGGTATCTGTTAAAAAAAAAAATGAATATTTTTTAATAAGTTTAACATATGCTTCTTTTCGTTTGCATATCTTAGAGCATATACTATCCACGATTACATAATAAGTGTTATTAAAAAATGTTGTCTTCCTCAAAAATGTAATTCATTAATTTGATCATGCGTATAGGCACCTCGTGTAATGTAAATGACGACATCGATATAATTTAATATTGATGTAATATACAGCGAGAATGAATAAATAAATATAATTGTAAATAACTAAACCGGCATTTTCGTGTATTCTGACGGAACACTCCGAAATTTCTACTCAATCAAGTAAAACCCTGGACAGACCATTGATGTCTACGGTAAAATCCTTCGTATAAAAAACCTCTAGCTCCCCAGACGTCGATCTCTTTTTCTCTTTGTCGTTTCTGCGGTAGTAAGATTCACCCGGCAAATTTGCGTCATAAACTGCTTCGATCTGATATCGTAAGGCTATCTAGCAAGTTTTCAATCCAACCAAATTGGAGTAAATTTTAATAACACTTAAAAATATTAAAGACATTTATATGTAAGCTACATAAAACTAGTATTGAATTGTGTTTATGCCACATGGCCCACAACGAAAGGTGACGAAGAAAAACTAAGATTTGAAAGAAAAATCTTAAGAAGAATACATGGTCCAGTATTTTATTTTTGAAACACTACATTGGGAATTGAGAACAAATGCACAGCTAGAAAACTGATACAAAAAGGAACATATTGTACAGTTTAGTAAAAGTATAAGAATGCAGTTGGCCGGATATGGCGTGACTGGCAGACTTATAAAATAAATAATGACTCGGACTTAAGTGGGGAGGAGACCAAGGGGTAGACTTCGAAGAAGATGGATAAAGATGGATAAACAGCATAAATGTGATATGGAATGAGGTAGTCCAAGAAGTTAAAATTTATTGATAATATATAGCATATGATAATGAGAAACGGGAGGAAATCATTTTGACAGTAATTTAAGTTCCGCAATTAAACGTATAGTTGAAAAAAAACTCGCATGTCATTTTTGTGCGGATTTTAACTTTAACATACAAATCATCAGCAACTTCTCAGATGAAATTATCATTGTGATTATTATATATTGAGTGTTATTTGGGGACTCGGCGTTTAAGATTTCGAGGTTTTTTGTGTTATTATTATTATTAACTTTGGCAGTCTGTTAATTTATTTTCTCTGCTCGAGTTTTCCGTCAGATAGCTTTCTCGGCATAACTTATTCAATATTTCAATAAACAAGCAATTTTTCATTAATCTAGTTTCTTTTTAATAGTCAGTTCTTAGATGTTTTAGTAACCAAAATATCGTGTGCTGTTCAGCCGGGGGCTTCACATTGACAAATTAATAGAGTGCTAGGGGTGGCGTGATGACAACGCATATACGTTCATTGTGTACGACGAACTACAATATCGGACGATAAATGGCGAAATGGAGTAGAAGCAGGGGCGTATTTAGACTTACTTCTAGGGTGGAGAGGGGGAGGCGACTCAAATTTTTTCTTTAATTTAGGCTCAAAATTTACAAGTAAAATTGTTGGTAATATTTAAATCAGGTGAATCCTTAATATTTGTGGTTTTTTTTATTTATTTTTTTAATCTAATTCCGGATCCACTTAGAATTGACTTTTGTGTAATTTTTTTTTTAACGCCTATCTGTGTTTTGAAAGTTTCGCTAGTGTTTTATTTAGTTTTTTCATTAAGTATGGACTAGGGCTTAAATCAAAATAATATATATTGTTTACCGTTATGGGATATTTAAACGTTTTAATCAATTGAGCGTTTAACGCTATAAATTATTTAAACGTTATTCAATTTAAACGTTTAAACGTTTACCGTTATTGACAATTAAATGTTATGACAAATTAACGTTTTGCGTTATTTAAATTAGTGTAAAATTTGGAACGTTTTCAAATGTAGTATTTGGCAAATAATAAGTACTATGTAAAATAACATTACATATTTTAAATATTATATGTATATATATATTACTTTTAACCAGTGGTGTATTGGTAAATATGTTTGTGGGTATACGCACTAAAAAATTATGGTTATTAATCCTAAAATAAATTTTCTTGCTCCACTCGACAATTGTTTTCTCTCGATATGTTCGAAAAAATTTAATTCATTCTTTGTAACTACATGTTTATAACTTCTATCAAGACTATAAATTATAACACCACAAGATGTTCATTTGCAGCGCGTTGTGAATTGCATGAGGCAGATTTAAGAACGACGGGCTGAATGTTCACGCTTCATAGTATTTTATTCAATGTTATTCACTACAGTTAACAAAATACATTAAACACAGCGTCACTGTAATCTTCAACACCTAAATATTTCAATCAATTTCACGGTTCATAAACAATTTTTTCCAATGAACTATTAAATTATTATTAGTTTTTTTATTTTCGAGTTATTTTAGAAGCGTATACCCGTAAAATAATATTTTACATTTGGTATGTATATGCCGAAAATCGAAAATCTGCTGATGTGAATACTTCGTATATCCGCGTATACGTACCAATACACCTCTGCCTTTAACGATATTTTCTTTTTGTAATTCTCATAACTCATAACTTATAAATAAAGCAATCGTATTTATTGTATAACAACAATAAAATGTACATACCACGTAAAAT